CAGCCTAACAGCTTCTCCCAGCTCTTCAGATGCTGCTGCTTTAAAGAGACCTGCACATCTACAGACACACCAGCCTCCTGGACACCCGACCAATTCATAGAAGTGGAAACAGAATTAAAACCAATTTAATGAGCACAATTCCAGCAAAAACAAATGGCAAATTTGACAAAATGTATACTACTGTATGTCTTTGAAATACTGCTGCAAAAACATGAACATTTCATATTTTAAAGCTGAACCTTATTTTCTGTGTTTTTAGAGGACTAACAGTGGTTTTATAAACTATTTTGTTTTGATTCTCTTTCACTTAACCATTATAAGAGCCATAAGAGTTTGAAGAAGGATATGTGAGTACTGACTGTGATGTCTTAAATTTACTTCTGGTTACTGTAACATGTTCTTTAAAGAATTCACATCATGATTTTGTATTTTATTGATGTATGCCTTCTTTCCCTGAGCTTTACCTTCAGGGCAATTGAACACTCTTTCTCTAAAAAGGAAAAGCTTGTTAAAGCTACAGTACTGGAAAAGAATTGGGACTCAGTTGCCAGAAACTGTTCATGTATTGCCACAGCTCTGAGCCTTGTCTGATTCCTTTTAGATGACAGTCACGAGACAAGGTTAGACAGGACTTTATATCTTCCTGAAATGCATCTGTGTTTTAAAAGGGAACTCTTTAAAAATTCATATTCCTTGCGTGGTGTCAGTTTGAATTTATACCCTTTTGTATCTAGCATGCAGGGTACATTTCCTGAAAAAGGACCCACTTACAAAATAAATGTGTTCTGATGTTTTTAAAATATTCAAGGTATAAACTTTTACTTCAGCTCTAGGTGAGTTCATGAATGTACTGAAATGCATGTAAAATAACAATACCACCTTGTGAGAGCAGTGTTACAACCTCATGTAATCTTGTGTCCTAGCTGAATTTTACTGCAGGCTATATACTGTAGTCTGGCCTCCTTACAAGTCCATAATTAATTGCTGAAACAGTTTCTCACTCCCCTTGATGTACTGTGGGGCTGCTTGTGGACAGTGGCATGGTTGCTGTATCGCCTAGCTGGGGTTTCAGGTGCAGAATGGCTGCTGTGTCTCCCAGGAGGGGCTGCTGGTGCAGAATGGCCTCTGTGTGTCTCCTGGTGGGGCTGCTGGTGCAGAATGGATGCTGTGTGTCTCCCAGAAGTATCTGCACATCAGCAGTAGATGAAGTAGAACCCTCCTTATATGAAAGGTGCTTTCATGATGGACTTTTTTCCATGGTATAATTGTAGTTTAAAACTTTTAGTATTGTTTTATCATATAATAATTTTGTGTGCTTTTTTCTCCTCTCTTGCATCTTCATGTTTGATTTGTGCTTAAAATACTTCTGACTCCTTGCGTGAGATCACATATAACCCTTTTCAGTGCTTATCTACATGCAATGGGATTGCTATGGAGATGTGGAGGGATCTAGGCTATACCTGGAGAAATACAATGTGCAGTGTGGAATGTCTGACCCCTGGGCTAGAGTGTTGTGTTACAGAGATCTGTCTGCTGGTCTCTCACCTCACTCTCATTTTCCCTCGTTGTCTGAGACCTGTTGAGCACAGCAAAGACTTTGGCTCCATGGTGCTTTTGTTAGAGGAATGTAGAATGGTTGAAGGAAGGTAATTGCTAAAGTCTACAATTGTTTTTTCACTTTTTCTTTATAGACACTGCTCCCGGAGAGAAAGTGTAAAGATAATTGATTTTTCCTGATCAACGGTTGTCAGTCTGCTTGAATCTGACCGGCTGACCTTTCTCACAGTGCTGAGCCATTGTCTCTCACACCTGAAACACTAGATTTAATGACTGAAGAATGTCAGATGGGGTCAATCATCAGCCCAGGCAATAATATAAATGCAGCCAATTTATATGCGCTAGCAGTTGCCAATAAAGAATAAAGAATTTGGTGTCTTCTGCAGTAGCCCTATCACCAAACTGAGCGACCCGCGTGCAGGGTAACTTTATTGGAATCTTCCTCTTATTAGGTTATGTTGACGGCTGAGCTCCATGCCTTCATATTGCCACTGAAGGAGCTGCACAAATGTGATTGTGTGATGCTGCGACCATGCATTGCCTGTGGCAATCTGAACTCTTGCTTTGACCTCTTTCGCAAACTGCTTATATAGGGGCAAGAGAGCTGATGCACAGTGCAGAATGACTCTAGTACTGTATATTAAAAAACATTGCAGCAGGAATGAAATTGCGAGGTAGGAAGATGTAATAGCAGTGTGTGAGAATCTCATTAGGTAATGTGGTGCCTGTCCTCCTCCTCCCTGGGCATGTGCCCTCCGCACTGGGTCAGGTAAGGTGAACAGAACAAGTGAGCGGGTGACTTCACCTGGAGGTGTGTCTGGAGAATAGACGAGCGGAGCGAGGAAACTCGCAGCCTCAGAAATGCTATTCGGGAGGCTCTGTTTAAAGCTGCAGTTGTGTGGTCTTTATTTTTGCTGATTTTCCTAGTTGGTTTTATTTTCCAATCTAGAGGGTTAACCTTAGAGGTGGCAGTCGGGAGGAGTCAGAGTGCCCATGCACCTGTCACTAATCACTGCACAGTAAGGAGCATTAGGGAGAAGGGTTTTCGTAACGAAAATAAGACTGAAGCACTTGTTGCACTTAGCATATTCTGACTCCGATGTGGTCTGGAAGGCATTCAACACCAGCCTTCAAAGCTAAGCTGGGAGGCTTGACTTTTGTTTGATCTTTTCTGCCAATGTCATGCCAGAGTGTGCAGCAGCTGAAAGGCAGTGCGCTCGTGCTGGAAAGCTGCTAGAGAGGATGCTCATGAGGTCCACTTTGAGTAATGGAGACCAACGGGAAGCCCCGGACCCTGCAGCTTTGGAAATGATTAGAGTAAACCTGTCCGCATGCTTGCACCAGAGAGGCCTGAACAAGCTGTTAAAGAGTTTTTACTCCTTTGTAACCTTCACAGAGCAAAGGTCACCCATCTCTGAGTATCCAGATGGGACTGAAATTGCAGTTAGGTTGTCAGAAGCTTCCATAAAATTAAAGCTTTCAGACCTGTGCACAGATTTGCAATGTATAGGATGTCCCATGCACCTTGAAATCTGTTAATTGTCTTCAACATCATGGCTGGGTAACTTGTTCCATACCCCCATGGCCCTTTCTCCTCAGTGCATGAGATACAAGACTCCACTAAATGCCTGCGATGTAGATGTGGTTATATGTTTTTATATCGTAGCTGAATGGTGGGCTTAACTGGGAATCATAGGCGCATGCATGTATTAACAGTAGTATAGTATCAATAGTAACTTTTCCCATTAGTGTAATTTCACAGCAGGGCAGAGCTCATGCTCAAATTTCAAGCAAGGATTACGGCATTCTCAATAATTTAAACTACAGCACTACCCAGCAGAGGAACTTCCATTTCGCCATAAAGGGTGGAGCTATGAGCTGCACTGAACCCCTACAGAGACAGATGGATGAAAGATTTCAAGTGTGGTTTGTGGTGCTGAGAGCAGAGCAGACGGCTGCAGACAGACATGTCCAAGTCATGAAGTAATTTATACAGTGGTTACAATCCATCCGGGATTGTAACAGGTTTAGATGGCGTCTTGGCATTGGCAATTTAGGTCTGGGCTTAACTTTGGATCTGCATACAGCTTGATAAACACATTGATTTGCAGTCCGAGAGAATGGAGCTGCGGATCTGGGCCCAGTGCTGGAATTTTATGAGCTTTGTTTTTGAGAAGTTGAGAAGCAATATCACTGTAGCACAATAAAGTGTTTTTCGGATCCAGTAAGACAGCTTGGTGTAACAGAATGATGTAAGTTTAAAACATACAAGTATTTCTGGTTTTTGAATTGATTTTTTTGTGCGAAAAAGAAAGAGATTAGCTTTGAGTGTTGCACCAGGGAAATTCCATTGCCAGTTTTCTATCATCAGAAATGTACTTTTCGCCTTGGTTTGAGTTATAACTGACATGCAGACATTTGATCAAATATGGATTTGACTGTCATGTCTGTTTCGGATTTCTAGGAGCCGTTATCAAAGGACGACTTGCTGTTGAGTGTCGTAGATAAAAAAGGGGTAGATAAAGCACTTAGCAGCTGGATGGTAGTAGAGAAAGCGTTGTGAGTCCTGGTTTCTCATTACAATGAAACATAAAAGGTTCGACTCACTGTATTTCCAGTTCCAGCTTTTTTAAAAACATCAAACATGAATTAAACGTTCCCAAGTGCTTTGAACTGCGTTTTCACAGTTGCGGTAGGAAGCCCTTGCGCTCTCTTTAATCTGGTGAGCTTCAACATGCTGCCGCGATGCTGACGGACACCTTCTGCTGCTGCATCCTTGTCACAGTCAGACACCGGCCAGGGTTCCGAGAAAATACAAATTAATGGAAATGTATTTTGTTAACATATAAATAGGAAACAAGGATGCTTCGGACTGCATTGAGGAGGAGGTGTGATTCTTCCAGGATTGTTTTTTGTTATATAGACAGGAGGCCAAGAGAAGGAGCGGTGCTCCTGAATGCTGAATATTTAGGGGTGAAAGTCTGTGTGGGGGGGTAGGGGAAGGGGGGGGGACTGGGGAGCACATCTGACTGGTGCTGCACCGTTTCCGACATTTTGCCGCTAAAGTGTGAGACGGTACTTCACGGATCACTTCCAGACAACATACCGTTAGAATGGATAGTTAAGCACTCTGTCATGCACTTAGAGCACTGGGAGAGCAGGCAGGCCTGGAAAACGCACACCCCTGTGTCACCTCTCAGGTGCTACAGTGCTGTCAGTGTCCGTTACAGCCCCTCTATTCCTGAAGTCAAACACGAGAGTAATTTGATGCTTGTGTGAAAGAACTTAGTTTATTAGTTTTCTTTTCCTTTACTCATACATCCACAGACCAGCGGCATGATCACGTTCATAGTTACACTTCAGCGTTCTCCGTGTAAAACCTAGCAATGTGTTCTATTAGGAGTATCGCTAATTCCGTTCACCTTATCATCTCATTCTCCCAGATGGCTTGCAGAGCGTTGGAGAACAGTGAGACTTCCCTCCCTCCAGCTGACCAGCGCTGAAGATGCCACGCTGGGGAATGAGGCAGTACAAACCTGGCACCAAGACCTCCAGCCTCCAGCAGCCTTCACACAAGGTAGCAGGAAGAAACCTGTCCCAGAGATAGAAATATCTTGTCCCAGAGATAGTCCCAGGTACAGTACACCCCTCTGCTTCCCAGAGTATGGACTCACGATGGATGTAGATATTAGAGCATTCTGCATTGCTGTTTCATTTATATTCTGTGATAACAGAATCTGCCTCATGCTCATGTCATTTAACACCACTGTTCATGAGATTCTCAATGCTCCTGTGTGCAGGATGGTTCATATTTTATTGGGTCTACAAGGTATTTTTTAGATCTCTAGTACATATTGAATGATGTCTGCAATTGGAATAGCAGAAGCTTAAGTGTGTGATCCATAAAATTATGGAGATTTTGAACTAACCTTTGAAGGAGAGAAAAATCTTAAGTGTAGATTCGATGTAGAGTGTTCTCAGATGAGGTGCTGTAGATGTGCAGGTCCATATTGTTTGAATTGCATTGGTACTTTGGTTGACTCTTTAGGATAGGAGGAGACATGATTTAAAAACTGAGTATCTGGCATTACCAAGCAGACAGAGACATACAACATTTAAAAACCCAACACTGTACATGAAGCAGTGTGATCAATGAGCATGCCAGACAAATGCAGTCAACTCAGCTCTGTCTCTTTTCATCAAAGCAAAGTTGCTGTTTTGTAAGACAGGAATAAACATCGACTTAGCTTTCAAAAGCTGCAGGATCAATCATGCTCATTAAATGAAATAATCAATATTCAATTCACCTTTAAAAATATCAGGGGAATGATTTCTGGCCGTTGTTCTTGTTCGTTCTGAAATTGGTGTTTAGACTGTTCTTGTCGTTTGGCTTTATTGTGGAATGTTATCTTCAGACTGAGTAAAACACACAGCTCATCCAGTCATGGTAGGACTTTGCACCATTTTAACATCTGATAATTAATTAAATATTGAAGAATGTATTATACTATGATGTGTTTTATGGTTTTATTAATTTCCCACAAAACAAAATTACAGATTACGGAGTCAAGTCATAAAATGTTATTCATTGCACGGCATCATAAGGTAGCCAAGAAACCAACAAATAAATGAGATTTTTTTTCTTACTGGTTAAAAACCACTACATGTACTAAAACTCAGCAAGCTTTCATCATTAGATACATGATTTTTAAACTAATCAGCAGAGGGCTATATATAAAGATTTTAATTACAGCGATCTGTCCACAGAAAAGCAAAACGGTTCAAAATATAATTGTAATTAGACATGGCAGCCAGAGTAGGAGAATATTCTCGTATCATAGGATCATAATCTTCTTTTGTGTCTCATGCAGTTTGCATCAAATATATATTCTTGTTAATTTGTGCCCAAGTGTGCAGGAGGTTAAGCATGCTGAGCATGTCTGAATTCATAGCAGGGCAGATAACCTTATTATTTCTGCCAATGTCAAAGCAGATAGATATTAATGTTGCAACACCTGTATGTTTTGTTAATGTTTATGAGGTTTATGCAAATGGAATAAGACGTCGCCTGATGATTCCCTAAGGGCTTGTGACGGAGGGGAGAATACAAGCCAACGCAGGGAGCGCTGGGATCTGGGATGTGGCTGGACCTTCATCCCCGGCTTCACTGCTCAGGAGGCTGCAGCTGTGCAGGGAGACTGTCCTGTCCAGCTGAGTAGTGGTGTAGAGAGACTCCTGTGTTGAGTTCTCATCTGAAATGTGAAACCCCTCCAGAACATGTTTCTGACAGACATTCTTAAGGTTTTGGGTTTGAAAACTTTTTTTTTCTGTTTATAATTTGTTTTGCATTTCAGCCACACAGTAGGATGTTCTGTTCTTTTACGAGTAGGTGTGTTTTGTCAGATAGCGAAGCTCCTGTGTAAGGCAGGTGTGTGAATAGATCAGATACTGCTCTGGCCTGATGTCCACCCACCCTCCAGCCTCCTTCTCCCCCCTCTGGGACCTCTTCCCCTCCCTGCACCCGCCCCTCGGCTCTGTCCACCTTGTCCTCAGGGCCAGGATGATTAATAATTAGCTGAAAATATTTGATAGCCTTCTATCAAGTCCTGTGCCTCCAGATTGAATGTGGCACAGGGTTCGGTGTGATATGCCGCAATGCTCAAATGTTCAAATGTACTGTAGCTGCGCCTGCTAAATGGGTTTAAAATAGCTAGAACAAACATCCCTCATCTCTTCACACTGAAAAATCAGATTATGCTGACACGAAAAATCACAAAGAAAGCCATTTTATAAAAGATGAAACTCTAAATTGGCTAATGACAATGGCTTGCTGTGCTTAGAGATTACTGTCATTTCAGTTTGGTGATGGGGTGCTCTTTTCTCTTCCTGTTGATGATGACAGTAATGTCCTGTGAAGTGATGCCATTAGATAGCAGCTCACATCTAGACCCGAGTTGGCTGTTGTCCTTTGTCTTCTTACTGATTCCAGCACTTGGGTACCTCCTGTGTTTTAGGTTACTGGTAGCAAGATTGCTGCACTTATCTCATAACGCAAGGCCGGTTGGGACCTGGAATGCCTTTGTCGAAATTGTGTTCTTTTGTGCTGGCTTAGATCACACTGCCCTGGTTTCATCTTCAGCCAGCATGCTCACTTGCTTCGTGTGTGATTCAACACATCCCCTACCGTTAATGTGAAACCCACCCATTCGTGATCTCTAGCAGAGCAGCAGAAACCCATCGCCGTCACTTGTCAAGCTGTCGGTTGTGAGAGCTGGCGGGTCCCTCTTGGAAATGAAACCAGACAGATGCCCTGTTCTCCAGGACAGATCATGTCTGAAGTCTGTGTATCAGCTATCACTCTGTTGCACTGCTCGAGCAGAGAGCAGCACAGTTCCCACCCCCTGGCTGACCTCCATGTTTATCTCTCCCTGCCACCATCTGTCCAGCCTGGAGCTCTCCGAGCCACACTCCTGCACTCTGCTGCTTCTCCCTCCAAGAATATCCGAGGCACAGAGGCAGGTGGTAACAGTGTTTCCTTGCCAGACACTCGCCATGAATTCCAATAGCGTGATCATTATAGATCATCAGACATCCCTTTCTGGGGATAGAAACGGAATGTTTGCTACTTTTATTTTTAATTGTGATTCTGCCAAGTTCAATACCTAATGTTCTGAGTAACCTATAGGGTCATGACAGTCTTATTTGAATTTTCATAAATGAATGTTCTTTGATGAGCCCTGATACTATTCTCCTGTGTGATGGAAGCCTTGTTTGATGAAGATGGGTTGTAGTTTATTGATAAGGCTGACAGGCATTGAAAGCCAATAGAGACTCAAACTGATTTTATTTTCTTTCCCATTTTGAAACTACTCACGTTCAAACACCTGCAAATCAAGCAATTTCGTGGTAAACAGGGTACAGGGACAGATAAGCCGTTACGTACCAGACAAATACTGGACAAGGTGACAGTCTGGCCTGTGTATTGGAGGGTTTTGAATGGGGAGCTGGGTCACCATATGTTGGCTGGAAAGTAAAGATTAATTCCACACTGAAAAATAGAGAGAAGACGTGTAACATGTCAGCTGTTGAGCCTTCTTCGGGTAAGGTGTTCTTGGTTTTCACTCCTTAAATTGGGCCCAGCAGCTGAAATGACATGTTTCTTCCTCCGTTTTGGAAATTCTTTCACAAGCATCTTCTTATGAGCGGCTTCAATGATTCAGTTGAAACTCGTCATATTTCATCAAAGATGTTTTCAAGGGAAATATCACAGTCTGTCACACAAACTGCTTCTGCTCAAGAACTGTTGGGCCCCGTTATCTCGGGGTATCTGCTATAACAAGTACAGTATGTCCAGCTGAACACCACTTTGTCTTCTTTGTTGTTCACTTCTGCCTGGCAGCCTCCAAAATGGTTAGTTTCTTTCTGCCAAGCACACAGTTTACACTCGGCACATTTCCATTAGTACGATAACCAAGATTTGGTGTTGAGTGGAAAACGAACATCTCCAGAGACAGAAAAGAAGAAGGCTGATTGCAGATGGAAAGCCCAGGTAGTGATTAATACTGGATAAATAATATGTCTTGTGTATGGAGTGATGGCATTTTCACAGTACTGGCATGCGTGTGTGGACCACTGTCTTGGCTCTTTAGCTCCTGTGAGGTTTTCTGCTCTGCTGTGTGGGTATTGACTTGCTTGGAACCCTTCGATACTGCTTGCAGTTTTCTAGTTCACTCTTGATGCTGCAGTGGTTTTCCAGTCCCGTTCATTAATGTTCTGATTAGGACCCGAATCATCTGTCCCTATGTGCTGACCCTCGTCTGAAATAAGCTTTGTGTTTTTTGGTCTGCAGCTGAACATTGCAGTGGGGTAACTGTGTTCACATGGAAGGGCTTCGGATGAAATACAAAGGCACTGCCAGCTCTGTACCAGCTCCTCTGGCCGTGATGGTCTGGGATGATTAGGGGGAATGTCAGTCCACTCGTGTTTGCAAGATAACCCTCTACTTGATTCATGGAATATACGTGCTATTTATGGTTAATTCAAAGTTTACTTTTGAAATGCTAATAAGCTTTTTGGAGGCCGTCGTCCTGCTACTGCATTTTGTTTACCACTCTCACATGCTTTGGTGTGTTTGATCTGTTAGTGAATTATTCTAGACACCAGCTTCCGTGTGACAGTTTTCAATAACCGCCCAAGTGTGATATTGTAGATCAATTTAATATTTGCTTGCAGAGGGAATGTCTTTAAAAGCACAACAATTGTCACATCAACAAAGCAGCTTGGCCTGACAAGTGTGAATGTACTTGCCTGGGCTTCTCGCAAGAAGAGTAGACAACGGGCCCTGCCAAAGTTTTCAAATGATTTTATTTTTATCTGTGCTGTGTTGAACAGTCTCGACTTCTACCAATTTATTTTTTAATTCTAAATTCTCAGCTTGATTCCAGATATTTCCTCTGGTGCCCTGAAGGACGTGTCCTCTCTCAGTTTTGCACTGCTGTGTGAAAGAACTGAAATGGAGATTAGCTTTGTCAGATCTTAGTGCTGGAGCAGAGAGAAATTCCGACTAATCACCTGGAGCTTTTGCTGAACAAGTCGTGATTTGCTTTGTCAGACTTACAGTAGGTAACGGTAGCAA